AATGTAAGTTTTCGTTAAATTCTTTAAACGGGTAATGTCTAAAAAACGAAACAGTCTTCGTCATAATCTTTCAGCAGAATGCTTTTATTTCTTTTGTCTTTAATTTAAAAGTTAATATACTAGGGTTTTTTTAACATTGAATTGTTTATTTTTAATAGATCTTAGCTGGATTGTGAAGGTGGATAGATTATATGTGAAGTTTCCTGGCCCACAGTTTTAGTTATGTTTTACAAGCACCCTCGCATTGTTTTTCATTAGTTTTGGGATTATCAAAAATCTAAATTTGTATATTTGAGTATTATTAAAAATGGTTTACACTTGGTTAAGTTTTGTATTTGCTGCACGCCAGTTGACAGTAATCAGCAGAGTCTGCAAAACGGAGCGCAGAAGTTCTAATTAATTACCTAGGAACACGAGGTACTGTTTTATTCGTTTTGAGAGCTGATGGGGATTCCAGTTGATTTGATGAATAAGCTGCCTAAAAGATAATTGAACAACTAATAAAATATGATGAATTTAGTGGTATAAAGGGCAAACAAACGTAAAATGAAGGCTAGGAAGCGGTGTCATATTTAATAGCAAACAACATGTAATCAGTTTGGAATGTTTCCAATTGATTTAACAACCTAGAGGCTAGTGCTAAGATTCACAAGTTGCGATCCGCGCATGAAGCTCAAAAAATGGCTTGTGCTTTACAATTTATGAGGCGAATGAAAAACGATTTAACCGGCTGTTGGTAGCCGAGATTATGTTTGCGTTTTACCTGTGAAGTCCCGGGTTTGATCCTTAGCTGGATTGCTAGATTTGCATTTCTAATGAGACCCGACCGGATCGAAACAGATGTAAGAGGATTCCTAGTTTCCTCATTTCACCTTGTATTTGTTCTTTATAATACAAAATTCACCATATGAGCAAATAAACTCCTTCATTTCTCACAAACAAAGTAATAAAATATTGAAACTAATACTTTTTACTCGGTGGTATTACATTAGGTTTTGTTTCACCTTATTGTTGTTGAGTTCTCCGAGCTGGAAGTGTTGTTCGCAGACGTCTCGTAGCCAGGCTAGTCCACACTATCAGTACTACTTTCCGACTTGTTCTAAACGTGTTTCGGAGCTGAGGAAAGGGTTGATGGTAGAAGTGAAAGTTTCAACTTAGATAAATAATCGGTTACGTTTGACCAATTGGCATTTGTTGAGGATTTGTGTTTCTTCCAGAGACTTGAAATAATCTTGATTAAAAAACTCAAAATTACATTTGTGCTTGCCATTTATATGAACTCGGAAGATTACTCTACTTTTATGGGGCTTATTATAGGCCTATCATTTTGGAGTAGGATTATGAAAAAATAAACTGACTATATACACTGGCAGGGTATTTTGCCCATTACTGCACCACTTGCGATGGCCTTCGGTAGTAGTGGTATGCAGTGCGTAACCATTCTCTCTATTTGGACTGACAAGGCTTAAAACATTTCAAATTATTTTCACCTTCAAATCACATCGTCAGAACACTTGCAATACCACATTGCAAACCAGGAATTAAACTACAGCATAAATAGGTGGAAAAAACAAAATAGGTTTGGATCCAATATTTAACAGTATCATTATAAGAATAGAAAGCCAATGGAACCTCTATTTTCCACCACGAATAAAGGGCGCAAAATGACAATTATAACGTTGACTGCATTTGAAGTGCACCACACCTGCCAATTTGGATTTTCTGTAACGGCGAAGGTTTTACCGATCCTTCTGAAAACGTTAATAACGAAATCACTTTATCATATTCAAATATAAGTTTAATTATAGAGGATGGGGTTAATCATCAAAACCCCGTTGCCAGGGTTTTTATTCGTTGATAAATCCCATGTTTCACAGCTTTGGTAACGACCCGGGGCAAATGTTAAATAGATTGACTTTTCGTCATTGGCCTAGGCTAGAGGAGAGTACAATGTTGATTTGGTCGTGTAGTGCAAAAATCGAAGGACATATTTCCTGCATAAGCGATTTGTACGAGAACATGGAACATGTATTCAAGAAGCCAGATTCACGAAGACTCTTGGATGCGTGAGTCCAACAATAAATTACGAAAACAGTCTTTTGCCTACCAGATATATTTGTGTTTATTGAACTCTCTTCCATGAGTTCATATCCAAAACCTCAATTGGTGATTGCATCACTTAGCGCTACCTATCAAATTAGTGAACGCTGGAAAGTGAAGCAGAGCTTATCCTCAGTTGTACACCACACAGAATAACCGAACTCGAGTACAGCACAGTAGACAATTTTCAAAGACACGTGTTGAATTACAGACCTAGTAGCCGAAATGATCACCGTGTTGTTTGACATGCTTGATGTAGCTCTTAGCTAAAACATCTGCTGATACAATATGTAACCAAACCTTCAGAGTTTGAACATGTTTAAACAAATGAATTTCCTCTGTCAGAAGTAACCATAATTATTCCATTGTACCGTGAGCGTCGCCCAGATTAGATACTCCCTACCGCAGGGTCCGTAGATAAATATGTGCGAACTGCAAATGCGCACTCCAATATTGGCCACAGTGGAACATACGAATTATGGAAAGATGTCAAATGATCAATATACAATTATGTAACCATTTGAGATAAATCGCCTTTGTTTAAGTTTAGCCATCATATGCTGAATAGATTGAAAGAGACTAGAATGAAGATGGTTTCTACCGATTGTCTTCCCATTCCAGGCGTGAAACGAGTCTCCATGTTTGAATTTTTATTCAATTTGGAATTATCATTTTTATCTTTATTAGGTAAAATATAGTGTGGGATAAACACCGTCTAACCATATGAAAAGAAAAATTAACAAAAATACCAGGGGATATTTTTACATTTTCAGTAGCTTTTAGAAAGTTCCAATCAACTGGAGATTTAAGGATTTCCTTGGGGAATCAATTGAGCATCAAATAAAACATTCAGGTATTCCTCATGAGTAAAACCTGCTAAGGGAATGCCAGAGTGAGTTCAGAGAGTCCCCAGGGCGATCCACAGAAGAGAATCATAGTGCAAGAGTTCATCCGAGATATGCATATATATGGTGGGTTAACTCTTACGATTATTTGCAAGGAAATATTTTATGAAAACCCAAATACGATTATCCTGTTAAGTTATGAAAATGTATATTCGCCATAGAAGTGCGATGGGAATGTTTGTGATGACGGATAAAGAGCACTGGACGGATGTTTCTTCCTGTTTGGGGCTCGTTATCAGTGCCTCTGAACAATCGATTGGGATAATTCAAACTTGCTGCTCTAAATTGAGTGAGCCATTCGCGATGATGATGATGATGGTGATGACCATCTACGTTTAGCTCAGGCGTAAGGATTTGAAGTCCCAACCCGGAGGTTAGCGGTTCGAGTCCTGACAGGGACACAGAAAGTACTCACAGCTGACGAGTGGCAAACAGGACGAAACAGCTGTCCAGTGCTCTTTGTTGATTATCACAAAACATTTCCCTCGCATTTAAATCTATTAACCTCGTGGGGAATGGACGATATCACAAGAAGTGAAACCCACACCGGAGACCATCAAGCTTCATACTGTGAATATATTCGCCGTATTTTCATGACCCAATGTTCCTCAATCAGCAACTGCAAACGTCAAAGGTAACAATACAGTCCTTGTTTCATGCTTTACCGATCTATTTTCAACAGGCAGCACTTTGGACAATTGCATTCGATGGAGGCACAGGAAATGGGTGTTCCTGGTGTTGGCAGTGATCGAAATGATTTGTTTCGGAGGATTCCATTATGGATATAATGCTCTCAAGGAGGACTACAAAAACATGAGCGTGTTTGCTGAACATTGTAACGAAAACGATTGCACCAAGCAAGATTTGATGTTCGACTACGCATTTAATGCATGGGTAAACACGCAAGCAGTACTTATCAGTGGTGCCGGATTAATCATGGACAAAGTTGGCCTACGATTCTTGAAGCTTTTGTCAGTTACTCTCTACTTTATTGGAACCTTGATGTTTGCATTTACAAGCAAAGCTGCGTCGGCTCTGTTTTTTCCTGCTGGTATATTGATGGGAATTGGGAGTGTATCCTCCTTGATTTGCAACCACCAAATCAGTTCCATGTTTCCCTCAGTTCAGGGCCTCGTCATTACTTTGCTTTCGGGAGCGTTTGACTCCAGCACTGTAGTAACATTCGTGATAACCAAAATTGCTCCCAAAGTATCGCTACAAACCTCCTTCATTGCCGTTGCAGTTGGAGCATTATTGTTGGGTACTTTCATGGGTCTATTCGTTATGACACAACGAATCTCAGATATGGGGAGGAAAGCAAACGTGGAAGAAGTTATTGGTGATTTTCCAATGAAGGTTAGTTTTTTTGCCGATCAACAGTAAAACTGATTCAGAGAATTCCCAAAATAAAAAGAAATTATTGAAATTTTTATAATATTTATAGGTTGTTTTAAATGGCAACGCGTAGCTTTGATGATTACTAGATGAATTATATTTAAATGTAATTAAAGTAATATTTATCATTTTCATAAGGAATTTAGGTTTCTACTAACTAAAAGGGCCTTGAGAGATATCTATGCGTTGTATTTGCAATAAAGTACTGAAAAAGGTATTGATCAAGTGCAGGGATTCTACAGATAAAATTTTTCAAAATTGATCTTTGCGCATTTAATTTGTTTGAGCATTCTATTTTGTCTAAGGTTTGTTCATCTCTTACAGGATTTTGAGGAAACCAGTTCTGTGGACGTGGATGCAAAGCTTCAGGAAATTGTCAACGCGCGTTTTCCCAGCTTGAAAAGTTGCATTTTTTCAGTTCCTTTCATTGCCCTGTTGTTTTGGTACAGTTTATGCTTGCTTCGGTTTTCCTACTTTTTCACTCAGCTTGTTCCCGTTCTCTCGTACGCTTTTCCAAACAATTCCAAAACTGTCGAATCACTTTTGGTAATGTCTTCCATACTGTTCATGTCTAGTATTTTTGTCTCTCCTTTTACTGGGATGGCATTAGTCTTTTTCAAAGAATTTTACAGACGTCGAACTGAACAGGCAATGACCGCCCCAGATGATCGTGTGTCAGACAATGAGCTGTATTGGATATACATACGCAGTATGGCTCCTGCGTTCATGCTTGTCGCATGCACTAGCATCCTGTTGACCTCGTTGCAGTTTGTCAAATCACAGGCCGCATTCATTGCATCCTGTGTTCTTCTGGCAGTCTATCGATCTCTGCTATTTAGTACCTGTATCAATTTTATTATGATTGCATTCCCTCTGAGAAACTTCGGTTTAGTCAATGGCATAACCAACACCATCAGTTGTCTTATTAACCTATTGGAAAACGCTCTGAAACAAGTGCCAATCATCCCGGGCACTGGTATTGCTCTGGGAATTTCCTGTTTGGTTCTTCTCACACCAATATTTTTCTTCATCAAACGCCGTTGACACTGGTTCAAGATATTTGCAAAGAACAAATTCAGGACTTGTTCATTAGTTTGTTAACTTATCTTGAGATGATTTTTTTAGATTGATTCTTATTTGGGGGTGATTTGTAATCATGATTTCAGACACCAAAACCTTTGTAGGATTTTTGTACGCTGTACTTATCGTTAGGTCCCTCAAGCTTCCGAATCTGCTTCCAGAGAGAATGTACACATTTATTTTAAAATACTCATTGACTATTTTTGAATCCCATCATGAGATTCCGAACATGAATATTCAAGTTTTGTCTTGATATATTTCTTTTGATTTCAAACTGTGGTTTCAGAATGATGGCGCAATAGTTCAAGAGTGTTTAGGATTTTGTTTGGCTCTGATAAATTGTTTTTATTTCCACTTTACTCATGGTAATCTTTGGCAAAAATTAGCTGCTTGTGAATGTTTATTCAAGGATCAAACCGAGCCAATTTTTCTTTTCCGAATTGAAATACCTGAATAGTAAAGCTGCTCAAACATTTGTTCTGTTATTGCCATTCTATCGACGATCTATTCAAAGATTTTATGCAAAACGTTCCGTTCCTATGAACTGCATGATTCATTTTATGCACACAATTTAACTGAGGTCGTATAATGAATTAGGTTCGTTTCACGGAGCACCGATTCGACTTTCATTTTGCCAGAATTTGGGAACCTTGAGTTGTCTTTTGATAATCATCGGCAAAGAAAGCTAGTTCTGTCATTGAACATCGAACCCCAAAACACAGTTGATCTTGGTCTCATCATTTTTTGGTGTATTCCGAATAAATAAACATGTTTTAAGTTTTCAAGTTTCTTAATGCTTTATTAGTTGCATTGTAGTTCAATTGACTAGAGAGGAAGTCGACGGAAAGCTCACACTTCTATGTACCTCTTTACTTATTTATAGACTAGCCCAAGTTGAGAACAAAAATTCATTATTTCGTTTCATCCGAACAACGGAGGTGTTTGAGTTTTGCGTTGAACATAATTGCGTGCACAGTTTGGGTAAGTATTTTAAGTCGGTTGCCTAAGAGTAAAATCCAGTTTACAAAGATATAAAGGTCTACTGGTGTCATACAAAAATATCATAGTATCATATTTTATCGGAAGAACAAATAAACACAAAGGAGACAACGGAATGCATATCCAAAAGTAAAAGTTGGGCAAATTACCAGCTCCAGAATGCTGTCTGATGTGCGAGTCTATAATCTTCGAATTAGTTTAATAAATGAACTTTCTGCCACAGCCGATTTTTGATTTTTGGTAATTCCACTAATTCCACTAAAGTCTCGAAACTACATCAGTTGGCCTTTTGTTATAGAAAATATCAAAATTAAAACAAATGACCGCTTTCTTGCAAACGTCAGTAGAAAAATTGATTTTTAAGGAACGCCGCGAAAAATTCTCACCAATTAGAGTCAGAAATATCAGAATTTGGCATTTTGTTATCACAAACCAATCGGCTGGTATAGGAAATTCACGAAATTCAGCAGTTCAAATATCTACTGCAAATAAATAAAGAAAACGCAGAGGCAACGATATCATTCATTATTTGAGAATGACATGTCCATTCAATGTCGGTTCATGAAGTTCTACAACTTTCAAATCAAAGATGTTTTCTTTTAAATACACAATTTGTATGAGTCATTCGAGTTTTCCTTTTGTTATATTTTTTTAATAAAACATCATTTTTTGTAAAAGTACGACACTTGCAATGTGGTTTGCTAATCGAGTGTTTGTCATGTAATTTATTTCGCCTGCCTAAATCAAAACAAACGCTAGCTTTTAAGAAGACTACTCGTTTGAGGATTTTGCAGTTACATTTAATATGGGAATAATTGGCAAACGTTGTTTGAGTTGATAACCTGGTCAGTCGAAGTCTATTCCGTTCTAAGCTGTCAAAAATCAGAGTTGTGCAATTTACACACCCGGATCATATAGAAGGTGGATTTGAAATACACTAACAAATAATTGTTATACGAAAATTACAGTTTGAATAAAACAAAAGATAAATCATTGAGCGGAACAATATCCGCAAAGACATAATCTGCATTGCTTTCTGAAATCGTGAATAATAACCGTAACATCCACGTCGACAAAAATAACTTTGCTTCACATAGTTTTGTACAAATAAAACTCCGGCTCATTTGGAACAGCGGTTGACTATTGATTAGAACCAAGTGGATACGTGAAGTAGTTTCCTTCCTTCAAGCATTTACACACATAATTCCATTATTCCCTAGATTGACAGAAGGCCGAAACTGATGATGAACGAATGTGTGTATGCAAGAGCCTGAAGCGATATATCAGAAAAAATTTCTTTAGGGTTCCAGTGTGTTCATCAAAGGGAATTTTTTACGATCCGAGACTCTTGATAAAACAAGACCTATTTGACTCATGATCTATGTGAACCATAACTGAATGAAATGTTTCTTATGTGTATTGGGTTCGTTTTGAGGTATAACTGTACAAATCTTACTCTAAATAATAATGCAGCAAACTTAATGGGCAAATTGTATTTCATAAGTGACAACACTTTTAATCGGAAAACTCTCGAATGAAGTGTTTTTACGCACACAAAATAGTTTTGTAAAGATAAAACAATGAAGTAATTCATACAGCTGGTTCTCTCAGCCCCCATGTCTGATCGCCAATACCAATACCCCTCTACATTGTGATCAGCAAACAACTTATGGAATAAGGAAGGAATATTTAGAAGGTGCATGTTTGGATTAGCCCATTCGGTTTTCTACAGGCATCAGGCACTGTTGATGATCTTGGGTGTGGGTTTCACTCCTTGGTAGCTCGTTAATTCCATATCAGTTTGATCCTCCTAAATACGACAGAAATGTTTGCGATAACCGAAAAAGAGCACTGGAGAGCTGTTTCGTCCTGTTTGGGACCGTGTAGCTTGGAAGTAAGGGTTTGAAGTCTCAACCCAACTGATCACGTTTTGAGTCCTGACAGGAATACAAAACATACACACCGTGGATGACTTCCAAACAGGACGGAACAGCTGTCCAGTGCTCTCTGTCGTCAGCACAAAGATTTTCATCTCATTTAAATGAAGGATTATCATAGTTCAGCCAGTTCTTCATCTCTCAACCGAGTGTAATTTAGGCCGAATGAGTGAATCCACTGCAAACTTTGAATACAATACAATAATGTTTAGTTAGTTACGGTGCCATGACAACGCAACCAGAAGGAATTGCTTTTTAGCATTAATTCCACTTTTTGTGAAAAATATGTCAAAATAGTACGGAGATTCTTCATAAGTTACGGAAGACACTAACAATGAAACATATTTATCAGCCAACGCACGAGAAGAAATTGCTTTATGACTCCAAGGGATACATATTCAGCTGTCAAATGCTGAACAGATAAAATAGAAAAAATTAAGTTAACCCAAATATCCAATCAATATAATAATTTGGACGAATCAAAAAAGATACCATCTGGGGGATAGAAAATCAGACTATCGGGACTATTCGAATTAGGAAGAAGTTGTCCGCTGTTTGCTTGCTAGAGTAGGTATTTTAGTTAGAGCAACTTTGAGAGGCTAGAGTAAATTTATATCTTACGTGGTTGACAGGGTCATCAAGGTCAGACAATGTTTTCCAATTCAGCGTATCACCAGCTTTGATGTGTTGTGAGACCATGGGATGGATGATGTATGAGCTCCAAAAATTCCGAAAACATGGATGAATTACTGAGTGATCTTAATATCACCACCTATATTTCGATTTCTGAAAAACCAACAGAACTTATTGAAGAGATATAGCGTCAATAAGGTGAAATGCGGTTACGTAAGGATTGCTTCATCAGGTGTAAGGTAGTGTATGAGTTTCAGAGGCAGACCAAAAGTGTATCGTTGAAGTGTCTATATCAGCTGAGGAAATAGTTAAGAATACTCAATTGTTTGACTGATGATCCCCATCTAAAAGGTGGTTTTTTGATGTACAGTGTCTGCCTCAACTCAAGGGAATTAGAGTACGGTTTGATCCAGGGGAGAGGAAAACACAAGGATTCTCGCAGGACGTTTATATACCAAATACCGCTCGCTGAAGCGGTACATGTCGAGCTTAGTATCAGGAATAGTAGAATTATCGGGATTAACGTCTTGATTATAACAAGCAGGCATAC